AGTCTCTAATAGTCATAACATTAATTCAAGAAAAGCAGCTACTATGCATGATTTCAGTAGCAGACCTGCCAAATTTCCTGCTGTTTCCCAAGAAACAACTGCTTTTTGACCTGTTCTCTTGGTCTGTTGAGAAACCTGACCCACCTACCCATTATTCTGTTATATATGAATTCAGAGAGTGATTTACATACGGTAAAGAAAGTGCCTTGGCACTAAAATGTTCAAAAGTTGTTTTTGAACTCCCTGACATAGCACAAATGATCCAAAATTAGATGCCTTTTCTAGTTGGCTTTGCTAATCATATAGGGCTAGATCCTCAGCTGGTATAAAAATGAGCATAGTTGCCGTGAAGATAGGGAATGGGAAATGTGGACATCAGAACAAAACAAAAGATACACACAACTATTTGCTTAGAACTCTAGGGCCAGGTCCTCAGGTGGTATAAATTGACATAGCTCCTGTTTTTTGTTTTATAGTTAATACTACCCTAATTTAATTCTTAAATGTCCTCCCTCCCCCGATACCCACCATCTTAAGACATGTTATGAAAAAAATAATAGGAACAAAATTGGAAATATGGCATGGCAATGTAATTATTTGATGCAGTGTTATAGTGTAATTAGAAAATGGAAAGGCTCAGACTTCTAATGGTTTATGCTTGAATTTGTGGAATTGCATACAAATGTATAATGTTTTTGTTAGAGAATACTGACACATAAACTGCAATGTATTCCATGACTTTATTGTAGTGTGTATTACTACAATATCAGCTCATAGGCATTCAGTGATGAGCATGGTATAAGAACCTCTACAGATAGTGATGTTACTCATATCAGCTCTAACAGTGTAATTCCAGAGTAAATCCATCCCTGAAGCTGCTCTAAATTATATAGGGCCCAGAGTGTAATTTTGCATTAGACAGCTACTTGACCTTGTGTTAGGGCCATCTACAAAGTATTCTATCCTATGAGTGTTTGGATCTTAGCCACATTTTGCAAGCCATTCGGTAATTTAGTGCATCCTGCTATCTAACTTTTAAAATACAAATAATAGTAGTTTCCTTTCCAAATAAAACACAGTTCCCAGAATCACCCTGTATAGACTACATGCCCAATTCATTTGCCCACTTCTGTTTCATATCAATATGAAAAAAGCACTTAAGTTCTTTTGAGAATTTTCCACAAATCAACCAGTCGGATCAAAAAGTTGTTTGTTTGTTTCATTGTTTGTTTGTAATTAGACCTTATTTAGCTTTAAATTAAAAGCAGTTACTATCCCATTAGATATATAATGTTCACAATGTTAGGCTTACACAAATCATGGCTTTATTTTTTATCTAGCACCAATAGTACACTATATGCTTTTACACCCAAGGTTTTCTTTGCCTGGGAGAGCTTACAAACTAAACTGCATTGGCCAAAGTTCCAAAGCATCTGGTATTCGGGTAGCAATAGGAAAGTATGACAATATATAAATGCATTCTTAAATCAGCAAGTAGGCAAATTTCTGACTTTCAGCTCAAATTCTTCATGCACACAGAAAAGCCTTTTATTAACAGCTACCGAACCTAATTACTAATCAGAGAATGCTGACCAGGAAGAAAACCTCAAGGTCCCATTGAAGTCAGTGGGAGTTTTGCCAAAATCAAACTGTCTCTGCAGAATTTTTTTATTTTGACATCTCGGGAAATTCCAATGAAAAATTATTTCATTGGAATTTTTCCAAGCAGCTCTATCCATTATGTAATGCCTATCCATTATCTTTTCCAAGGCTTAGGTCTGGCTGGTCAACAAATCTCTAACCACACAAAAACAGTCACTTCTCAAATGCAGGTATTCTCTTTCCTCTCCAGTAACTCCAAGACGTGTTCATAGGCTTCGTTCACACCATATACTCTCCTTTCAGCCAGGGCCCCGTTTCAGTGCCCAATGGGCACTTCTCAAGTTAGAAAGCTTCTTTCTCTTTCCTCTCTCTGATGTTGACTGAAGAGGAAGGCTGAAAAGGAGTCCCATACATTTGATAGATACTGTAGATTGAAAGATCAAGGGCCAGGCCCTAACTCTGGACATGCCATGCTGAAATTTGCTCTTAATTCCCAGTCAATAACTGCTAGAGAAGAATAAGTTGTTCTTTCAGATGCCAGTTTTGGCACTGGATTCAAAAAGGTGAAAATCCTAAAAATAAAATATAAAAAATGACAAAATTGTGCAGAGGAAAATTCAGAATCCCAAGAGACAATAGTCCAAGAGCCACTGGCAAGTCATTTGCCACAATAGGCGTGTTTGAACAAAACGCTGGTGGAGTAAGAAAGCCAGAGGTGCTTCTTGTTTATAGAGAAACATGTTTTTGTTCAATACATTGGAGGAAATGTGCCAAAAAATAGTTTTTCAATGTGTAAATCTCAGTCTACCCCTCTTGCCAAGGTCACTGAGACCTCCTGGTGTCTGGATCTGACGAGTAAGTGCTGGGCTAGCAGTATAACAGCTGCATAGGAACATATTATAGTCATCGTTTTTCTCAGAAAATGTGCAGGAGAGGACAATAAAGGTGAATTGCTTTTTCTGTGAATCCTCTCATTTTTATATAATTTCTCTTCCTTTTTGAAACTCAATTTCACACACTACATTGATGTCCTTGTTGACAGCAATCAAAGGCCAAGGATTGAATGGAAACGAGTGATTTATCCTTTTGTCCCTAGACATGATCTGTCTAGGTCAGATTTGAGCCTATGATGTGCAGCTCAGGAATTGTGAAATAGCTCTGTTTATTCTTTGTCTGTCCTAAGGTATGATCGTGCACCATTGCCATTGACTTCAGTGGTAGCAGGACTGGGACTTGTATGAAGAAATAGCAAATTTCAGCCTGCCGTGCACTTTATTTATTCCGAGACTGCCAGCAAGGATGTTAGTTAGTGCAAACAGTAGTGGGGGTTTTTTAAGGCAAATTTAGAGTTCATTAATAGTGTCAGATTGACAGCTCTGAAGACATTACTCTCTTTGTCCTCGCAGTAGGTATAGCACAGGTAACTTAGTTGTGAGCTGCTCCACAGTGCCCAGCCAAAGTGCCTCAACTCTCACTTGGAAGGACCACCTCTGGGGTGCAAAGTTAGTTTAGTGTCTCTACGTACACTGCATTGGAATCAGTCTGAAAGGAAGGTACTAATTTAGTGTAAGATCATTGTAAATCCATCTTTTGGCTCAGGTCTTCATCTAGTGGAGCTCCATTTACTTCAGTAGAGATACATTGATTTAAACCAGCTGATTATCAAGCACATAATTTCCTTTCTGAGACTGTTAACAAAGTTGCCTAGTAATGTCAACTCAGGGTGATTTTTGTAAAGTGGACTTTACCATGATGCATACACACAACAGGACAGAGCTGAGGGTTGTTTATGCAGCTTATCTCTGGCATTTCCTGTTTTCCAGACAACTGTAACAGTCTCTTAACATTGGCTTTGTGTGCACAATATCTCTTGGACTGGGAAAAAAATGGCAATGGTGCATGCAGGTTCCTAAATCTGGAACTATCTGTATTATGGGCAACCTGGACATGTCATGTCCCATGCCCCTTAGGGATCTACCGAAGTAAGCACCTCTCCTTGTGAACCTGGTATGTTGGGAAATTGGGGAAGGCACTTTGCTCTTCCCTCAGGCCTGGCACATTTAAAACATATCAGAGGAGTGCTTCTTTCTGCAAACCATACAAAGAGCAAAGTAGTGCTCCCTAGCCCTATCACATTTCACAAGATCTGCCGGGGCGTTGGCATCTTTGCTACATAGCTAAGATAGTCATGCGTGAATACATAATGCAACCTCCATTAGCTGCATATTTTATGAGCTTCATGAAAAGCCCTGTGCAAAATGTACTCTGTGAGTGTGCAGGGTACAATTTTCAATTGGGCAAATCCTCACCAATTTTTACAAGCACACCCCAAGGCTTGGTCTATGCTTAAAATTTAAGTTGACGTAGCTATGGCACTCCGCGGTGCGAAAAATCCATGCTGTCCTAATTCCCAATGGAGACACAACTAGGTCAATGGAAGAATGCTTCCATCAACATAGCTACTGTTGCTCAGGTAGGTGATGTTCCAACAGCGATGGACAAACAAGCCCACTGTAGGCTGCATCTACACTATACGTTTATGCCGGTAAAGCTAAGACACCATGGCTGTGCTGCTATAGTCCCCATAGTGTAGACATGGCCCAAGATACTTTTTTTAATAAGGCTTATTTCCATGCCAGATTTTAGCTATGCAACCCCAGCCGTTTTGACTGCAGAGCCACTCAAAAAAGATCCCAATAATTTTTGTTACAATGGGAAAAGTATATATTTTTTCAATCCCTTCATATTCTAAGGAGCATTTTTGTCCAAACCCTCTAACAAATATTTCACCTTTGGGCGAAGACCAACCCTAGAAAATGTCAGCCAGAAAAGGGAGGTTTTGGAAAGTAATGAGTTACTCAGAGTAGGAGGAGGGTAGAATGAGAACATTGTATATCTTAACTGTAATAGTTTCTGTTGGTGTGTTAAATATTCAGTTACGCTTTTCTGGGAAAAGACTCAGTGGACCCTACAGTTGCTTCCATTTAAACATCTCTCTCTCTCTCTCTTTATATTTCTGCAAAATAGGAATAATACGTGTGCATCAAACCATGCATGCAATTAAGCACCTCTATGATAATCCAGCTTTCAGAACCATTTTATGACTGCACATACTCTGCCACCCAGAATGTTATCTCTTAATTGTGCATGGCTATCAAGTATCCCTATATGCCAAATTGGTGTTGCATTTTATAGACTACGTTTTTTAAACACGTAAAACCTCTGAATGATGTTAGTTCTGCAGCTGCCCTGTTATCTGGCAAGGCCTGCAGGACAGCTGTTACGATGCAGTGAAGATGTGACTTTTCCACATGGATCATAGTTACAGCCTTCTATGGAGTTGATTGCATGAGCTGATCTTGTATTTCTTTGTGTATTTAACCCTTTAACAAAAACAGGTATGTTAGGTCAAGAACAAAGCATGACATTGACATGAGGATCGGAATACATTCTGGATCAGTGCTGTGTGGGGTGCTGGGCCTACGGAAGTGGCAGTTTGATGTCTGGTCGTGGGATGTGGATATTGCAAACAAACTCGAGTCAGGCGGCATTCCTGGGTAAGACGGAGAATGATCCCATCAGCTGTATAATTTTTGTTTGCCTTTGACAAATTAACTCTCTTTCCAGTATTTAAATAGGTTTGATGCAATGTTTAAAGCATCCTTCTGGTGCTATTTGTAAAATGGCACTTAGCAAACGCTCGTCAGAAGATTGTCACAAATATAATGGAGATATCCTATCTCCTAGAACTGGAAGAGACCTTGAAAGTTGAGTCCAGTCCAGTCCAGCCCCCTGCCTTCACTAGCAGGACCAAGTACTGATTTTGCCCCAGAGCCCTCCTCAAGGATTGAACTTACAACCCTGGGTTTAGCAGGCCAATGCTCAAACCACTGAGCTATCCCTCCCTCCAAAATACCCATATACCAACTCCTTCTCTTAGATAGCCATTGACTGCCCCAACTGACCCCCAGCATGCAGATCAGATCTTTTGGGAAGGTCAACGGATCTCATTTCCATTGCCGTCTTGCCTGCCCTTCAAACCTGGTTGTTGTGGATCTGGCTGTGGGAAAGGGAATGTTGCCCTCTGCAAATGGTCAGTGATAGTATTCAGCCAATAGCTATTCCTGACTGAAGCAGAGCTTACCCAGTCTGGCTTCAGGCCCTGCTGCTCCCTCAGTTTCCTTCCTTTCCCCGTTAATCACGCTGCAGCTGTTTTCTCAATCATTCTTTCCTTTTAAGAGTCTGGTTTATTAATGTAAGATACAAAACAACACAGATCTTACATCCAGCCTTCCTAGCTAGATCATAGTCCTTGGGGGCAGGATTCTTGGTCCCGGCCCTCATCGCAAGCTTACTCCCCTCACTCCAGCCTTCCTAGCTGATTCCTGATCTTTGCAGGTTTGCACATCTCAGGCCTCTGCTTGGGTCCCTATGGGGAGTGTTTTTGTGTGGAACACCCCTTCTGCCCCTTTTAGACTCTCCTCTGAATGGTCTATTATATTTTCTAGCAGACCTGGCTCTGAGTTCCCCCTTCTCATGCTCATTATACTAATTCCCGTTACCTGAGGAGATGAGTTAAACCTGCCACAGGTGAGGGTGAGGCCCAAACCCGTTAAAGGGCCAGCTCACCCTGTGACACCATATCTGACACTGGATTTATGCAGATACCTTTGGTTCAAGATTCTCTCTTCTGACTAGCATGCAGACTTCACTCCTAAGTCCTTTGGTTCCAAATGCTGGTGTGAGGAACATGGGTGCAGTTTCCCATGATTTTACACAAGATGTGGGAGCATTGTGGCATCTTTCATAAGCTGTCAACCTAATTTCATGGAGTGTTGGAAAACGTACCCTGCAGGGATTGTTCACAACTAACTTGATGCTCTGAGCTGCTAATCTGTGCTTTGTGACCTTTACAGGAGCAATTGTATATGTAGGGATCTACTTATTGCCATCCATCTGCTTAGTGTTTCTTCATCTGAGGTGTCTGCTTCACCCCAGGGCTGAAAAGTTATTTCTGCCTCATATGACCTGCATCTCAACACATTTTGAGATGCACAATTCCTATCTTTGCTGTGGTGAGTCAACCACTCTCAGTACCCTTTGCAGCAAGACTACTTACCATTTTGGAGATCTGTTAGGGTCAAGCAATTGTGCCATGCTGGCCACAGAAATCCCTGTTTAAGCTCCGGTCCTGTTCCCGTTGGTGTGTCTGGCAAAAGTCCTATTTACTTTAATGATGTAGGGTCAGGACCTTGGAGCAGAGAAGCAACATCTGGGGACATTCTGGAACAGATGAAGTTTAGTGTGCCTGCCAGTTCTTGCAGTGAGAGTTGTGCTAGGCTGGTCCGGTCTTCGAATGCCTTAGAACACCCTTCAACCTAGATCTGCCTTAAGCAATACATGGAAAAGCCATGTTTCCAGGCTGAAATAGAGATATTGCAGATACAGTACCCCTGCCCCCATACTGACTGCAGAATAATTGTCTTTAAAGTCAGTGGAAAATGAGTCATTTTACCAATCTGTTGGTATTGCCTGTAATTGGTTTCTAAGTATTGTTTTGTAAAGAGCGGTTATGCTCAGAAAAATGACTCCTCCTTTCCCAACATATATGATCTGTATGTGCCTGAGTCACACGTGCACACTGGAGTGACAAAACACATATTCATTAGTGTTACCCCTACAGAACCAATACAAATATGGAGGAACAAGCTGTGTCATACTCAGCCTTGTCATCATTAGCAAAATGATCAAGCCAAGTTCTGCTTCCCAAATCTGTATTGTAGTGGGTTGAATTTCACCCCTTTGCTGAAAGTGCACAACACAAAGTCTATGCACTATACATAGGGCCTACCGAATTCACAGCCATGAAAAACACATCACAGACCATGAAATCTGGTTTCCCCCCCATGAAATCTGCTTTTTACCCTATACCATACAGATTTCATGAGGGAGACCAGTGTTTCTCAAACTGGGGTTCCTGACCCAAAAGAAGGTTCCGGGGGGGGGAGGGGGTCACAAAGTTATTTTAGGTGAGTCGCGGTATTGCTACCCTTACTTCTGCACTACCTTCACAGCTGGGCAGTCGGAGGGTGGTGACTTTTGGCCAGGCACCCCGCTCTGAAAGCAGCAGCGCAGAAGTAAGGGTGGCAATACCATACCATGCCATCCTTACTTCTGCGCCGCTGCCCTTCAGAGCTGGGATCTCGGCCAGCAGCTGCCGCTCTCCAGCGACCCAGATCTGAAGGCATCGCCGCTGCCAGCAACAGCACAGAAGTAAGGGTAGCCGTACCGCAACCCCCCTACAATAACCTTGCAATTCCCCCCCCCATAACTCTTTTTTGGGTCAGGACCCCTACAATTACAACACTGTGAAATTTCAGATTTAAATAGCTGAAATCATGAAATTTACGGTTTTTAACATCCTATGACCGTGAAATTGACCAAAATCAACTGTGAATTTGGTAGTGCCCTAACCATATAAATCCCACCTAGGCCCTCAATAGAGGGGCTTAGTGGGACTTCAGTGGTGCATACATTGAAACCTGTCCCTTAGCTGGCAAGGGGGTGAATTTCACACCTAGAGACTCAGAGCACAAAGAATACAACTTTACTTTCAGATCTCAGATGCAGTTTGCTGCAATGAAAGATCAATCATTTCTGTGTTTCTTAGGGGATGTCTACACAAGCACTTGCTGCACAGCTACCTGGGGTGTTAATTACAGCGCTTCAGCATCCCACACACTAAGTGTCCCCGTGGGACCATGCTGCTGCTCACTAAAAGTTCCCTAGTGCACTTTGACCTATGGCTGTTTCAAACCACAGTACTGCAATATGCGCCAGAGACCTCTTAGTGTGCATAAGCACAGTACACACGGGCAGTTAGTGCGTGGCACTCTGGAGCGCTGGAGATTTATTCTGAAGCTCGCCATGCAGAAAGTGTTTGTGTGGATATGCTCTAAAATGAGCAAATTTGATCCAGAACCCACTGATAGAGAATACATATGGAATCCCAGAATATTATTTTTAGAGCCACTTTTCTGTGTATTAAAGGCAGGGCTGTTATTTCTAAGATATGATCTGTGTCACTGTGCATCTTGGAATGAACCTGTTTGTTCTTGCATAAAACATAGATGATAACTGGTTTTTCAGGATCCCTTATTTATGAATAGGTTCAAAAGTCTTGGGCCTGATTCTGGTCTTGCCTTTTCTAAAATGGGTTCGATCTGTTGACTTCAAGGCAAGTGTTGCTGATTTACACATTTCAAGTGAGCCCAGAATCAGGCCTCTTCAACATACATTTTAAATGAATGAAGAAAAGTCAAATGCTTGTAAGGTGGAAGCAGAACCCATTCTTGACTCTACCGGCTGGTTTATTAATATTTTGTCCCGGTACGTATATTAAATCAATAGCCAGAATCACAGCTCCACTTAGCACTGTTATCGTTTCCATTATAAACCCCATATTTCAGGAGTTTATAATGCAATCTTCCGAAATTATATTAGACTAAAACTTAGCACAAAGATAGTCACCCTAGCAACTAATGTATTGTTTTCTATTCTTCTTTGTATTTAGTCCCTTACTTCAATTAATTTAGCCTTTTTGGATTTATAAGCTTGGAAACAAAGTCTGTTTCTCAGGTAGCAGACTATTTGTTTTTTCAAATCCAGGCCAAATGCTGCTTACCTTTGGGAAACAATTTTTACAGTCTTTTTATTGTTAGAGACCATTAATCTCGGTGGACATTTTGGAAAAAATAATGGGTCAGATCCTCTTCTGAGGTAAATTGGCATAGATGCATTGACTTCCATTCAGCGACATTGATTTATATCAGCTGAAGATCCGGCCCTAGGTTTTCAATGGATTGAGATATAAATATTTCAAATTTCTTGAGTTTTTTATTGTGAAATTATGTTTCATATTATATGTAGCTCCTCATTCTGTGTTTTTCTGGATTCCTTCACTTCCAGGCACTTCAGAGGAGTTAAGTGTAATCAGCAACGTGCAGGAGGTAGTCACTAACACAAAGGGTTAAACCCAAACCCTTTTTACTACACAAATTCCTAAGTCTATCACTAGGATTTTACATAGTATAAATCTGCAATGGCATCAAATAGGCCACAAAACTAGGGTTGCAAAGAGGTGGGATGGAAAATATTATGGGCCAGAGCTTGCACTTGTGTAAACCAGTACAGAGCCATTGAAATCAATGCCAGTTTACCCCACTGGAAAATCTAGCTCTGTGTATCTCCTACATATGTTACTCCTGGGGGAATTCTGTTCCAAAAAATTAAAAATTCTGCACACAGCATTCTATTTGTCAAAATAACACAATAGAATCACGCCAGTTTCAATTATTTTGGTAATTTATTTCAAAATACCCATCAGCAAGTATGTCTGTCACAATACAGACCAAAAAAAAGATTCAGGAAATGTCTTTTGACAAATAGATTCCTTACTAGGTGTATTAATGCAGAACTTCAAGTAACTCATTTAAACTACCATACAAAAACGTATTTCCTGCATCTCTCAGAAGCAGTGCAAAGGTTTCGGGGAGTCAGGTGCTTGGGGCGGGGGCAGCACACGGAGCCCCATGACCTCCTTGCCTAGGAGCCGGACCTACTGCTGGCCGCTTCCAGGGCACAGCGCAGTGTCAGAACAGGTAGGGACTAGCCAGCCATAGCCAGGCAGCACCACCAAGGGGACTTTTAACAGCCCAATCAGCAGTGCTGACCAGAGCCGCTGCGACCCAGTGCCTTACGTTCTGCGACTCAGTACTGGGTCACGCCCCGCGGTTTGAAAACCACTGCCATAGCTCACAGTGAACAGTACCTCACTCAGGGGGTAGTCTGATGGGAATCAATGGGACTGCTCCCGGAGTAAGGTACTACTCATCATAATGGCATCAGGCTCTGGTATTAAAGCCCCCGTCCTGCAATCTGATCCAGGTTAGCCTGGTGATGCTCTGATACCACTGCATATCATGCTCACCAATAGTGTCTCATTGTTTTCTTGTGCTCCCTCCTCAAACTGTCTGCACCCATTTGTTGTCCCTTGCCCTATACTTAGGTTGTAAGCTTTTTGAGGCTCTTTCTGTTCTGTTCTGTTTGTATAGTACCTAGCACAATGGGGTCCAGGTGCATGGCTGGGGTTCCTAAGTGCTACCTCAATCCAAATAATTAATAATAATAACATGGGCCGATCCCTACACCTGCGTGGAATCCCACTGAAGTGAGTGGGGCTCCATGCTGGTGCCAGAGTTTGACCTTGGGCTTCCACTGCAGTACTGGAGTCTGTGTTTATAAAGAAATTTGGGGATCGTGAGTGATTCCACAGCACCTCTAAAATGTAACAGTTTATAAGGCTGAATTCTTGTAAAATCATATGTTGTACCAAAAAGAGCATTTATCTATAATGTTAAATAATGACATAAAGCTCTCGATAGTCCTTCCTGTCAAAATACACAATCAGCATCTAGTACCACTTGTGTCATACATGCAGGAGGATCCACATCTCCAAAGCCACTCTGGACTGCCTGAATGGGGATTATAAAGTTGAAGAAGGACACGGTAAAGAACGAAATGAATTCTTAAGGAAACATAACATTGAGACCTATTTAATAAAACAGCCCGAGGAGAGTCTGTTGACTTTGCCTGAAGACATTGTGAAAGAATCTGTCAGCATCTCAGACAGGAGAAACAGTGGGGCAACATTTACAGAAGGATCATGGAGCCCTGAACTCCCATTTGATAACATAGTGGGAAAACAGAACGTAAGTCAAACTTTCCTTAATGTCATCGACTATGAAAGCATGCTTGAATGCGTCTCAATAATGGAAGCCTCAGAGGAAACAAATTCATCTTTAACCTTTTCTCTAACATGTACTACAACTGCAGATGATTAAACAAATCGCCTCAGGACAGAATTAACCTATGTATCAGAATCGGGGAAATGCCAGGGTTTCATGGCAGGGAGGGGCAAGGGTTGGTTTTTTGGGTCCATCTAAAATTAAATACTACGCAGCTGAGTTTTAATTGAACCAAACCTCAAAGCAGTTAATTAAATGTAAAACCAATGTCATTAAATGACACGAGATGGGCAAGTCACCATGTGTGACTTCTATTTAGCCAACACAGTATAGTTTCAGTGCACTGCTGTATTCATTGTCAAAGTCGAGACAAGAAGGTGTATGTTGTGTGGGATGTGCAAACATAGCACAGGGCGATTCATGAGCCAAAGTCAAGAGCTGTGGACTAATACGCACCCTGTGATAACAGTATCACTATTCTTCACATTCTTCCTTTATTAGCTTAAAAAAAGAGTCCTGGACATAATTATGGTTCCCCAACAGGGGATTACTGGAGTCTTGACTAGCTAAGCAGAAGTATGGAGCAATAACATGAAAGAAATGTCTCTCTTGATTGCTCTCAATCAGATCCTTTTCAAAAGCATTTCATGTTAGGTGTACGCATTCTGGGATCCAATCATTTGTCACAGTCATAAAATCAGTTATGATGCCTGTCTGCTTAAAAAGAATTCAAGATGAAAAGGTTAAAATGCCCCTAAGACACCACTCTTTCTACTGCATTTGAAAGATTGATGAGTCATAGTGAAACAAGATCAGTTTGAGTTGCCTTCCATTTGTATGTGAGAGATCTGTAATGACATGATATTTCCTTTCTTTTGCTGCATGTACTTAGTTCTAGTTGTCTGAAACGTCTGTAGAACTTAAAGCTTTGTTGCGTGAAGATCATGCTTCGTCAACAGTCTCTTGCCTAGAGTGATAAACCCTCACAAGTGATCAATTCTTTGTGAAGAGTCTATGTCCTTTCAGACTAAAATGGTGCATGGTACAGTTCGCTGTATTATAAAACATCCGTTTTACATGGGTATCTGTGTATTTGCTTATCTGCATGTACGACTCCTTTCAGCTCTCACATCATTTTGTCAGCTTATATCTATTTTCATTCCATTGGGAATGAAAGAGTGCATGCATGTTGCTAAGATTAACTTTTCTCTCAACATTCTCCTTTTCTTGTTCTTTCCCTTTCCAATTTCTATAGGCCAAACAAATAATAATTGCAGATTAGGCAATTCTCCCATTGTCCATATTCTCAGCTGTACCTTACCATGTTGCTAACAATGAAGAAAAAGAGCTATTGTTTTATACCATTGTTGACTTCCTTCCATCTAACAAGCCAGTAAAAAGTCTATGAAAATTACTGAAATGTGTATAAATGCACGTATCTTCAAAGGGATTTGCACCTTATGGCAACATAACATATCTAAATCAACAGAAGATGGCTTCTCCCTATTTTGATTGACTATTATTTATCCCAGTATTAAAAGCATAAATCATTTTTACTATATAACAATTAATTACCTGGGTAGAAGCTCTAATTAGCCAGTCACTGCATGCATGACTCAATTATGTAATTTTCAATTGTAAAATCAATGTAGTGTGCATTATTGTTCATTAATAGTGGTCTGAAGCTAATATAATCTTAGAAATCAAATGGCATGCTAGTAATATGTATCTTTCTCCAAGGACTGGTCAGCCTTGGACAGATTAAGCATTTAATAATGTTAATTATCAGCAGAAAGATCACTTGTAGCAGAGGAGGTTGGAGATGCAAGAAGCAGCTGTTCGACAGCGAAGCACTGGGTCTGCTTCGGTATTTGCTAGTTCCTTTCAAATGTCCTCACTAAAAAATTATCAGTTACAACAAGATTTGGGTAACTCAACTCATCTGGAACCTGTGGCTTAATTCTAGGTCTTGCCAAGTCTGTGAGAATCTGACAGATTAGAGTCTCTTCTGATTTCTCTCCTCCAAACCCCAATTCATCACATTTCATATTCTGTCCACTAATTTATTTTGGACTGGTGACCTATGAGAGTGGAATGGAGGTATGAGATTTGATTTAGAGGCCAAGTAAGCAGTCTACACATCACACACATGTAGAAAAGCTAAAGTTACCAGGCTTGTGACTTAGGTTTGATTGTGCATTACGCTGAGGTTGTGTGTGGCCATAATGAAATTCAGTCCATGCCCAATATCCTGGACTGTGTAGCTTGTGGAATGGAGGTATTAGCATGGCTGGGCCCTTCTGTAAAGCGCAGAGAGATTCTCCAGCCCCTGTGGTATATGGATAGTTGGTGGGATTGGATTCTCTGTCTGTGCTTTACAGAAGTTGTAACCAAGGGCAGAATATGGCCCCTGATGTTACTCTGAAGAAATTTGACAGAAATGGGATGCAATTACAAAAATGCTAGTCTGACAGATTTGTGGGGTATGCACATATTCTAGTGATTGTTTTGGTGACTGTTACCAATGCAGGCATCTAATAAACAATGTATAAAGAATACCATTGATTTTAGAGAAGTATGAACAACTGTTGTAAAGACCAGGAGTCAAACATAAAAGGGCAGGGGTCATAAAGTGCAGGAGACCTAGATTCAATTCCTAGTGCCAACCTCTTATTTTGATGCCAAGAGCCCCTATGAACTAGTCTTACAGGATTGAATAGACAATGGAAACCTGTCTTTTGTTATTTTAAACCATCCTGTTGTGTTTAACAAAAACTCATATCCCTGCCATACAACTCAACTGTAAAAAAGAAACTTACAGAAAGGATATTGCTCTCTATTCAATTTTATTATTTTTAGAATAATTTCTATAAAATGCTGTTTCATGCTTATGCAGTTCTGTAGGACTTTGACATAGAGCGTCTTTAGCTGCTTCAATAGCTTTGTAAATCTGGCCCTTGGACTAGGAATATATAATGACATGGGCAAAATGGACCATAGGAAAAAATCATTACTTCCTATTTTTTCAAAAATGTGTGTATTTTTATTTTGAAAACTGACTTTTTAAAATTTCACCTCTCCGCTTCCTGTACTTTAATATATTTCTGCACCCTCTGCTTTCAATTTATCTTATTTTATGTCTGGTTTTGCCCTCTCACACTTTTTGGTCTTTTCACTCTAAAGTCCAGATTCTGCCCTCTGACATCAATGTGAGCTCATCTAATGGTGGAACTTGAACCTGAGTCTTGTCATACACTACAAGACTCAAGCAATTAACCCATGTTCTAAAAGGAAACGTTCAGCTCAGTGAATGGGAATTTGAATGCACCATCTTTTTTAGCTAATGATAATATGAGTAGCCTGCCTACATTTGCATTGCATCATAGTGAAAACATAACCCTTAAGGTCTTCCAGTGTGTCATTTCTTCTGGCAATAAATGAGAAGGCAAAACAAAACTCTGTTGGCACCACATGGGGGTATGCAGTTGTCTAAGGTTCCACTTAGCCAAGTTTTATATTCCAAATAACTAAGTTGACTCAGGATCTTTTTTGTTTACACAACAAAACCAATCCCAATTCCAAAGCTAATTGGATATAGCTAATAGTGTAATTAGATTTAGTACTGCATTATGGTTCTGCTGGAATACGTTGAATCAAAAGGATTTAAACCTACCCCCTGAAACTCACTCAGTGTTTTTTCTTGTATTTTTACAGTTACCAAAAAAAAAAATAAGGAATCCTTGGTTAGTGTGAAGTATTCTATTACTTCTTCCAACATTATTTGGGCATAAACCTGCATTCCCTGTCTATGCAAAAATGCCAGAGGCATCACTGGCAAGTAATGGGCCTGTCTCATGCAACTCTTTTATATCAAACTACAAGCCTCTTGATCTTGATCAAATAACCCAAACATTTGAAGTAATATGATTGCAAGGGGTTAACATGCTAAGGCCCAAAACCTAATCACAATGAAGTAAATGGAAATGTTGCTGTTGATTTCAACGAGATAAGGATTCCCAGCTGAAGCATTAAACAACACTGGGAAATGCATTGTACTGTCAAACTGGAAAAGTTTTGTGTGAAATACAAATTATAATAAGTTCACTTGGGTGGCGATAATAGGCATGAGAAAAATTGGAAAGCCATGTGCTGAACTGCATTATTCATGCCTTTTGGTCTGCCTCACTAGTTCTCTGCTTACTAATACCCCCCCCCACCACACACACACACACACACCTTCCCTGGGGACATACTTATAATTCCAAATCTCTTGACAACATCAAACAGCCCCTGTTTTAAACCAATCAACCTACTGGAGAAATGTTTCCTCCTTTCCCTTAATATTACACTGGTCTGAGGTACAGGATGGGCACTAGGGAGAGATCCTCAGCTGATGTAAATCGTCATGATAATGTACTCCAGCTGATTTGCCCCATGGGATGAAATCCTGGTTCCATTGAAATCAATGGCAAAACTCCCATGACTTTAACAGTGCTAGGATTTCACCCCGGACTACTGCAGGGGTAAGGTTAGATATACTGTGATCCTGCAAGGCTACACCTGGGAGCTTTGTGCCATTAGAAAGGGGATATTGCCCTGTTTTCCCATGGGATATACAGCACTTGCCTCTCACCCTGGAAAGGCTAGTGCTATCCGCATGGATGATCTCATTTAACTCATTCTTAGAGTTTTCTAAAAATGTATTCATTATTACCAGGGCCGGTTTCAGGGTTTTGGCCGCCCCAAGCAGCCAAAACAAAAAACAAAACAAAAAAAAGCCGCGATCGCGATCGCGATGGCAATTCGGCGGGAGGTCCTTCACTCTGAGCCGGAGTGAGGGACCGTCTGCCGAATTGCCGCCGAATACCTGGACCTGCCGCCCCTCTCCCGAGGGGCCGCCCCAAGCACCTCCTGGTGCCTGGAGCCGGCCCTGATTATTACTTTCCTCTTCAGTACAGCTGGACTCGTGATATTAAAGGAGCGTGGGTTTTACAGGAAGAGGGAAGTGAAATATCGTTCCCATGCAGTATTTCAAATCTCTCTGAAACATTTCTAAAGTTGTTGTTTCTTTTGTAACACATTTTCATCTGTGTTTGAGCAGAGCCTCATACACTGGTTCCCTGATTCTAAATGGAGTCTTAGGGTGCTACTGTAGTATAAATGCTGATCATCATCATCTTATAGAATACGTCATTGCATGATATAAAGGTGTCAGTGCTGTTCATTTGGGAGGTTGGCCTAACTCTTGAGTATGATGGCTATCCCCAAACTCAGGTCAATAAAACCGTTAGAGCACACCATTGCATGCATGCGTATTTGTGCATCTGACAGACAGACAGAACCGTTGCCTTTAAAAAAAATACATTTGCCAGCTGTTAACCACACTCATATTATGGACACTAGTTTTTCCCTAGACTTAGAATAATAAATAAATGTGATAACTCTACAGGATGGCATCTGTTGGCAAACGTGGAACTGTTCTGTGTTGACCACTATACATACAATGCTTTCTCTGCCAGTGGGGATGTGACTGAAAGCACTATGTCTTGTCTTTCAATGTCACTCCCTAATATTGAAAAACAAATCATTAAGCCCTGATTCTGCCACCCTCACTAATATTCAATAGTACTTTACTCTGCAAATAACCCTGTTGGTTTCAATGGGATTACTTGAGGAATAAGAACTACTCTGGATGAATAAGGGTGGTGGTATCTGGCCCTCAGTAGATATATGGATCACCAGTATTTGTTCCATATAGCTGCTGACCAGACAGCATCATAGGCTTGGTGGGGAAGCAAGTATTCCACATTGACTCCCCTAGCAAATGCAAAACAAAGCATGGGATGTGCTGGCAGAAGTGGATGAGAGCACATACCTTGGTCAATGACACACAGATAACCTTTTATTACTTGATTCTTATTGCCCATTAGGGAAAAGCTGTTTGCTTCAGTGTCTTTGTATGTATGTGAGAGATGGACAGATTACATCGTGTTCAGCTGGGATTTGCCCTTCTTTTTCCCGGAGAAATACAGATTGTTTCAATCCAGTTCCCTCTTTGTCCCACTGCAAATTGCATTGTGGTCCCTGTTGTGATTAGGTCGCATATTTAGGCACCAGTAGTTCTAAACCAATTAGTTAATATATGCAGCAACAAAGCAGCATGATTTTTCACTTCAAATTGAGCAAAATTAGTCACCTGCTGAAGTGAGGTTAGGTGCGATGAGATAATTTCCCTCAAATAATCAAGAGTTACCCTGCTAAAACATCAGGCACTTGTCTCTCTTTTCCAGCAGAGCCATAATGATAGGACATAGTTCTGAAGAGACCAAACACTTCAGCCTCTGAAGTGATCCTGTTCTGATATAGAACCAGGCACTGCTTCAAGCCTCCACCCCTATATCAGAATATCCATAATAGCTTCACCACAGATCCCAAGTTTAAATTAACTCTTTCAAGTCTGGAGAACGACTAATATACCTCTAAGGAAAGGATGTTATTAGGTGTGATCCACAACACATTGCAATCACATTTTCTTATGTTCCTAAAATCTCAAATCTCATGATTCAGGGCTTCTCCCAATCACCTGTGGGGTCAGGAAGGGCCCTTCTTTATTTTCTCCTTCCTCTGAAGTATCAGAGGGGCCATGCCTGAAGATGGAACGCTGGGCGGAGGGAGCCAGTGATTTGAGGTGGTACTGAGAATTCTCTCTCTCAGGTGCTTGGCTGGCTGGTTCTTGCTCACATGCTCTGGATCAAATTGATCGCCATATGTGGGGATGGGAAGTTATTCCCCCACACCAAATTACAGGGACGCTGGTTGTGGTTTTTCCCTTCCTCTGCAGCATGGGGTACGAGTCACTTGCCAAAACTATCTGGGTATATATCACTGAAAAACTCCTTGTCACTGCTGGGGCCTCAGACATTTGTGCACCTCGGTCCTTCCTGTCCTCTGCCTGTGGCATGCAATAGTTTAAGCTCCAGAGGGCTATAATACTTTGATCTAATTCTGGTTGATAGGGGTGGTGTGGGGGTGGCTAGTTGGAGTTTATTGGCATGTGATTTAGAAGAGGTCAGATTAGACGTTCTGGTGGTACCTTCTGGCATGAAACTCTGTGACTCTAGAAAGACTCCTAATGAAGTCACTGGAATCTGTCCTTAATGCATACATCTTAACTCCTGCATACCAAGGATAAGATGGGGACTTAGATATGTCTGAAAGTTTTTATGGCAATGTTTAATTGATTTCCCTTTCAAAAATTTGGTGGTACTGCCTTTTTTGTGGCTAAGTAAAAAGGCTTGTCAAAACACTTAAAGGGTGAAATCCAGCCCTATTGAAGTCAACAGCAAAATCCCCATCGACTTCAATATGGGAAGGGATTTCAGCCATCGTGTGTTAAGCTCTTTTGGCTTTCTGTGTTCTAACGTTTCTCTTCTAATTATGCAGTGTAAGAGAGCAATTTACTATTCAGGATTATTTGATCCTTGGCCTCTCTACCGTGACTTCAAAAATGGTTGCCACTTACAGCTGTATTTTGTAATGGTGGATATTTATCCATTGGTAGTTAGGCTAAAACCACTTGCATGTTCTTATGTGCCACTCAGCATTCATCAGAAGATAGCAGCTTAAGATAGTTTCTGTCCATGCTCTGAATTTGAACCAGGGAAAGACTCCATATTCCATTATCTACATGGAGTCTCCTAATCAATAAAAATTTCCTTATAGGTTCAAACCACTGGTCCATCTAGACTAGTATCCTGTCGGCTGCAGTGGGCAGTACCAGATACATAAGAGGAGCCCTGCAACAGGCAGCTGTGAATTAACCTGCCCACAAGGAAAATTCTTCCTAACCCCTAATAATTAGAGGTTGTCTTGTACCCTAACGTTTGAGAGTTTATATCCCTTCTACTCATTAGCATTTCTTTAAACATTGGGAATATAGCAGACAATAATGTTTAAGTTTTCCCATTCAATCTGCTGTCTTGTGGTTCACATAATGAATTGCTACACTGGGTTGAGTTACTCACTTCATGGAATTAAATTCTACATCTGTTCTCAAAGTTAAACACTAGTCTTAGTATCTCCACCATCTGTCCTTTTCGAAACTTCACAGAGATCACTTGCGTCATCAGTGATGGAAAAGTACAATTAAAATGATCTACAAAAAAAATCTACTGCAGTTACTACCATGAAAAGTGCTGTATATGAATTATGTTAACCAATATGGCATAACTGTGTTCTACATATGCTGGTCGGAACATGCCAATGTAGAGAGAGAGCTCACTGTCTGTTTGAAAGTATATAAACAGGCACATGGTGAGGCAGACAGGGAAGTTTCTCCTTCTTTCTCCTCCCCTCCAAACTATCTGTTCCCTGACTATACACATCCAGTAACTTCACTGTCTTTTCTCCTTTACATATTTTCTGTGAATTCTGTTCTGATTTGCTAAGACAGACCACTGAATTCAGTCCCCTGTTTTGAGACGTTGGTGTGGGTTCCTTCCACCATCCTCTAAGAATTTCACAAATAATTCAGCAACAAAATCTGGAAACATTATAAGAATGATGTAGTTCAGTGGAACCACAAACATAAAAGCCCCTACAAAACATGACACAAAAGCAGCCACCTACTATACTGTATGTGTTTAGTGGAACAGGCGTTATTTTAAACTTCTGTAGGTTCCATTGAATGAATTGCATGGAATGCTGTTACAGTTTGCAATGCAACATGATCTAAAACATTGCATTTTTAACCCAAGGGGACCAGCAGGTTTATTCTGTTTGCATGTGCTTTCCCCTAGACTCTGGCTGCCCTAACAAGAAATTCAATAAATCTGCTTCCAAACCATCTTGCACAAGCTTTGCATGTCCAGTCTGGGCCCGAGGAAATTAACAAGCGAATAGAGCACACCATCGACTTACGGAGTGGCGATAAATTGAGAAGAGAGCATATCAAGCCTTTCTCACTGATGTTTAAAGACTCCAGCCTGGAGCATAAGGTAGCTGGGTCTTGATAGCTGCTTTTTTCCAATTCAAATTGTTTTAAATGTCCACTGAATTAGAGACAACAGCTCTAGGTTCTAGCTTTGTTTTGTTTTGTTTTTAGAAGACATGATTGAACCAAAGGTCATTATACTCCTTGATGAGTCAGTTCCAAAGCTGGCAAGTCCCTACTAGTGAGCAAGAGCTGCTTTTGAAGAAAAGTGAAAGATGTTTGCCAGCTTTTTAATTTGATGATGAGTCTTACTTTTACGAATCAGGCTGCTTTGGCACAAACTGGGAGCAAGCACGTCAATAAAATGATGCTTCTCCTTAAAAAAAAAAAGCGAGAGATAATATAGAGATCTGTTCTGTCTTTTTGGTGATACAATCCCACCCTAAACCCCCGTCAATTGCTATTTTTTATTTTGAGTCAAAACCACTCTGTCAAATCTTTGTTTTAGGCCCCAAATTAAAGAAATGTTCTACTTTTGAAGGATCACTATTGTTTTCTCATGTCTCATGTTGCTTCTGAGCTGCAGTATGATCCCACCTGAATCTTGTCTCTTGTCTGCATTCAAAAGCACCTATAGATTGCAGTTTGAAAGGGGGGGTGGAAATGGAAAAGCGAGCTCGTCCAGTGTTTCTTGCAAGCTAATCGTGTTGGCTCTTTTCATTGATTTCAACTGACTTCATCAACCCAGAGGATAACAAAGTGCTCAGTGTCAGCAGTGTCAGGTATATGCCTAATTGGAGAAGGGGGAGGGAGAGAAACAGCATGGAAATTGCACGCTTGAAGAGTCTTGTTGTCCATCAGTGCTTTAACATCTGTTGAGCAACAGCTCAAGGGTCGTTTGCTCAACTCATGTAGGCAGATCCTCAACTGGTGTAAATTGACATAGCTCCATTGACTTCCATAGAATTATAACAATTGACACCAGCTAGGGGTCTGTCCCATAGACATCTACTAGCAATTTGAGTCTGATCCCACATTCCTGACTCAGGCAATACTCTGATGACAGACCTTGCTCTCATTAAGTAGGAACGTCTCCTCCTGAAACCCTTCCTGTCATTGAATTGTACATTACTTTGCAAAATATCCCACTGAAGGAAAGAGGACTATTCAAGAAGCTACTACTCAATACGAGCAAAGCCTCAATCTTGCCCAAAGTAAATGGGGATTTTCCAGAATCAAGTCCTATGTTAGGAGCATTGTTTTGTTAAACCTGCCTGCCAACTCAGACTCCACAATTAGCAATGACAGGAAAATTCCAGATGGAAAATTTGGGGTCTAATTTAAATTCAGTTTAAGCAGGGCAAGAAAAAACCCACCCGTCGCATCTCATAGGTCAGATTTCAAATATTAACAAGGTGTTAAATGATATCTAAATGACAGAAAGGTGTCTGTTAAAAAGTCAGCGTCTGTTAGTGGCTGCAACACCTGTTGCTCTCAGTATGACACCTCAGAGAGCACAGTGCCATAACTGTAGGTAAATTATGACTTTTTAATGATAACCATTGTATATCAGCATTTCGAGTCCCATGCAGAACCAGCAGGCATAGAATATGAAAAAATGAAGAACTTCTTTTAAAAGTGAACTGGAATAGTTTCAACTTTCTGAATCAGCTTTTTTCAAGTATTGGGTAGAAGTAGATTCGGAGATAGTATTTTATCTGATCTGGTTTGTTCAGAGCTAATAATCTGAGGAAAACCGAGGTCTCATAGCTATTCGTCTTGCTAAGATGCAATCTAACCATGCCATCACAAGCTAGACAGTGAGTTCTTGAGGGCCTGGGACTGCTTTGTTGTCCATGTGTGCAAAGTGCCATGCGCACCAATTGTGCTACTCAAAATAATAAATCTAGTAAGTATGCATGGGGCCAGTAGGTTCATGAAACCCAAATCATCATGTACATTTGATTACTAATATAGTGGAACTATCTTATAGTGACATGCAGGAAATGTTTGTTCCTCCCCGTTTTCCCTGTGCAATGATTGCAGAATTAGCACCACTGGTGATGTTAGTGATGTTATACAAGATAATATCTGGAGAGAATAGCTACATTTCTAGAAAGGCAGCCCCTAATTATTTTCTAGATTGTCTATATACTATAATTTAACACTAATTGTTTTCCTCTTGTTTTATCAGGTTAAAATTTGAGTCCGACAAGACTATTTCAAAATATTTTCTCTCTAAGCTCTCATTCTCCCCAGTCCTTGCCTTTCACTCCAGAATCAGACTTTCCCCCCAGGTCTTAACACTTCTCTGCTGTCTGCCACGACCTTCTACATCAGCTCCTCTAGTTGCTCTCCGCAGTGCTTCTGAGTAAATGAACTGGCACAGTTTTATTGGCTTTCCTCTCTCACTCTGCAGCTCCCCCATGCCTGATTGATTTAGTTTGCTCCCTGTTGCCTTCAGTTCAGTGCGGTGGCTGCCACAAGCCAGCAGCGGCTCAGAAATAAAATATTTTCCAAAATGTTTCCAATTTCTTTCTTCTGAAACCTTGTGGGTCCTCACATTCAGCCTCGTGCTTTTACACAGCACTGACTTCTCCCTAATAAACCCTCTCTTTTGTTGTCAATGCATTTCTCCCTGGAGAGTACATATATTAAACGTGTACAATAGATTCACTAGCATTAACCCCATGGTCAATAATAAAACATCGTACTTGCTAGCCATGTTCATTCTGGACAAAGATTCAATGGCTTATATTCAGATCAATTGACAAGCAAGTAAATATAAAAATTACTCCGACTGTATAGGCAATAGGACTGTGCACCACTTATGTCCCATTGAAGGCTTATTTTCAGTAGTTTGAGTGGGTCTTAAATGGAGCATTGAACTTACATTGCATCTCCGCTCATCCATTATAAAATCACTGCAGTCAGTGGAATCACAGCAGGGATTAATTTGGAGCTTTGATTTGTTAAAAAGGACACAAAAGGCAAAGCATCAATTTCAGGAATCCACCTGCTTTGTGTAAGTGGCACAATTTGTTGTGACGTAGCATAATTCCTATCTATTTATAACAGTTTAGGCCTTTATGATTACTTCCAGTGGCAGATTCCCCGTTCCTGTTATTCTCCTCTGCTATTGCATGAACGTAGATTCCACAGAGATGGCAAGCATAGTTATGTCAGAAAATAGGATATCACCATGAAAGGAAAGATAAAATGCACGGTGAACTCCACCAGGATTCATTGCTGTTAGGAGGGATTCGTGCAAGATCCCAAATAGTGTGTTTTTTAAATTATTTCACCAAATGGACCAGTCATTGCTAATGCATATGTCACCTATTAGCGCTTGATATCTCACTAGACTTTCATTATAATTCACTCCCAGTTTCTCTAGAAGCTATTTTCACAAACAGGGTAGTGGCAAATGGGCAAAAGCAGAAGAGACATGGCTAAAGAATCCTTGAAGTTTTAGCATCAGACTGTGGAAGATGCTGACAGCCTTCTAATGGCTCACAAAGGTTCTCAGCTATTACTTGGGATGATTCCCCTCTAAATAGGTGTTTCTCTGCACTTCTTGTTTGTCAGTTGGAAACTTCCCACTACCATGAATCCCATGCAGATATATCAGGGGAGTGTTGCAGAGAAATTTTCAGCAGGGAGAAGATTGTGCTCAAGAAAGTCTCATTGCTAAAGATGTAGGTATCCCTAAGGGAATTCCTAGCCTCAGAGTTATTCCTCTCCTCACAAGGGTTATTCCTACAGAGAACTACATTGCATTGGGAAGGGAATGTAGGAGGAAGTTGTTCCTAGGGTGGAGATATCCTATCTCCTAGAACTGGAAGGGACCCTGAAAGGTCATCAAGTCCAGCCCCCTGCCTTCACTAGCAGGACCAAGTACTGATTTTGCCCCAGATCCCTAAGTGGCCCCCTCAAGGACTGAACGCACAATGCTGGGTTTAGCAGGCCAATGCTCAAACCACTGAGCTATCCCTCCCCCTGAAGTGTAACACTTCAATCTTAAAGTGTTCCCATGGAAAATGTGTAAGCCGGGCTGTTCTAATTACAAAAACATCTCAGAAGGCTGTGAGCTCTTAATGGCAGGGACTGTCCTTCCATTACATGCTTGTACAATGCCTTGCACAGTGGCGCCTGATACTCCATTGTGGCCTCTACAGGCTAATGATAATAAACATCCTCATCACTAATATTAATTAAGGCCAGCTCATGCCCTGGTTCTCTGCAGCCGTGAATGGTGGAGTGCCCACTGCCATTTGTGGCTGCACAGTCCCTGCCCGGACCACCGCTCTAGGCATGCAGAAGGAAAGGGATTGGATGTTGCGAGCAAGTGGGCAGAAAGGGGTGGGGAATGAGCAGAGCTGTTTGGGCGGGGGGGGGGGAGGGCTATGCTATGTACGCACAGTGCCGGATGGGAGCCGGGGAAGAATTGTGCCTCTCTGAGTCACAGTGACTTCCTGGCATTCCTCCTGGAGACGGATGAGCCTCGAGGCTCAGTCCAGCCCCGAATGACTTCGAAACACTCAGAAAATGGAAATTGCTACTGAAGTGCCATGTTTTTCCATTGGTCTCAGTGCTGCCCTAGAAATGTTAACAAGTCCTTCTCGAGACACAATTATGCCACATACGCCTTTATCCTTTCAACATCAATTTAAACACAGCAGGAAATGCTGTATTTGTGCTGCAGTAAAGTAATTCTCTATAATTTCCCTAACCAATCATTTTCATTTCATAATAAATTGTAAAAAGTCGAAATTACCTTTCCTTGGTAATTTTGTGCAGTGCATAGGCCCAGTCCTATACAGCTCAGGCAGGCAAACCCCTTTCTTTCTCCGGTGATAGTTTTACCTGACTCAGGAGTGTGGAACTTGGTATTTCACATGTTACTAGAAAGAAAATGGGGCTTTATATTTGAGAGGAGACACGTTTTGTGTTTACAAAGAGCAGCTGAATTTAACCTGCCAGTTTTCTGTAGTACTGCCGTTATGTCATTGCTGCTGATAGCTCAGTGACTCAGGTAGTATGTGGAGACAACTCTAACGAATGTATGTGGCAGTGACTCAGGTAGTATGTGGCATCTTTGCAACTCAAGGCATCTTCAGTATAAGATGTTGCTGTTGGCAAAATAATATCCCCACTGTCTGCAGAGGCAGAGTGACTGCTCATGTTCAAAAGTTTCTATGTTACCTGTGTGTTATTTGGAATATTGACTATCACTATTTGAAAGGAGAACAGGATAAATGTAATACAGAGTTCAGGCCATATTCTGTTAGGCTCCTGGGAAAAGGCGTAATGCTACCCCAAGTGACACATACATTACAAAAGTAGCATTAATGGTTGTCCATATTATCACCCAGCACCATTCACAAATTTCATGCACAATTTATTCTTCTAAGAGTAGGATATGTATGGGTTTGGTGAAGTGGGGGAGCCATGTGAAGGGGAAATTACAGATTTAAAGAATAGAGCCCTACCAAATTCACGGCCATGAAAAATGCATCACAGTCCATGAAATCTGTTCGCCCCCCCATGAAATCTGGTCTTTTGTGTGCTTTTACCCTATACTAAACAGATTTCATGGGGGAGACCGGCGTTTCTCAAATTGGGGGTCCTGACCCAAAAGGGAGTTGCAGAGGGGGTTGCAAGGTTATTTTAGGGGGGTCATGGTATTGCCACCTTTACTTCTGCGCTGCTTTCAGAGCTGGGCAACCGGAGAGCAGCAGCTATTGGCCAGGCACCCAGCTCTGAAGGCAGCACCCCACCAGCAGCAGCACAGAAGTAAGGGTGGCAATACCATACCCTGCTACCCTTACTTCTGCACTGCTGCCTTCAGAGCTGGGTGGCTGGAGAGCAGCGGCTGTTGACTGAGGGCTCAGCTCTGCAGGCACCAGCGCAGAAGCAAAGGTGGCAATATCATACCAGGCCCTCCTTACTTCTGTGCTGCTGCTGGCTACAGCTCTGCCTTCGGAGCTGGGATCCCAGCCAGCAGCCACCGCTCTCCAGCTGCCCCGCTCTGAAGGCAGCACCACCACCAGCAGCAGCGCAGAAGTAAGGGTAGCAGTTCCACAATCACCTTGTGACCGCCCCGACACACACAACTTCTTTTTGGGTCAGGATCCTTACAATTACAACACTGTGGAATTTCAGATTTAAATAGCTGAAATCATGACATTTACGATTTTTAAAATCCCATGACCGTGAAATTGACCACCATGGACATGAATTTGGTAGGGCCCTAGATATAAACATATAGACTGACCTTTACATTACACTCTATGATCCCTTCCCATCACAAAGTGGTCTCTTGCCATGTTTTGGAGAAGTCAGAATAAGCAGGGGCAGTGAGCGGAGGGGAGGGGCTCACTGCTGCTGAAAGTTGAGTATTTTAAAAGGAAAACATAATGACCTTGATCCTGCAAACACGCACATGTGTAACTTTATCTAGGTGTGCAGCCCCTGTTGACTTTGGGGCACGTCTTCCATTTCTTTTTAATAAGAGTCCCCAATTAAAACTTTGTATCCAAACACTGCCGAATTGTGTGGTATTAGAGATCTAGATCTGAATTTACTGCTTGGACTGCCCTGTCAGTACTATGTTTTTTCTAGCTACATCATATTCATCCCCCTGGTGCCTGTGTCCTCTCCCTATCTTTTGCTTTTTAATGCATGGAATTTAGACAAAAAGGCAACCATGTAAAAACACTTTTTATTATAAAGCAAAAGGGTTGGGGTTTGCTGCCATTGTGAGAGGGATTTATTGGCTCATTCATGACATGATGATTTTCTTTCTTTTTTAAAAACAACACCACAATATGCTGATTAATGTACCCGATCCTCTTTTTAATTTCCCAGAAACGTCAACGAATGTCACTCTTTACAAAACTGACACGTGAGCCGAACGTTAATTCATTCTTCTTTATTTTTTATTCCAGTATTCTCAAATGAGGGATGAAGTGTTCAAATCAAACTTGGTGTGTGCATTCATTGTCCTTGTATTTATCACCGCAATCCAAAGTTTACTTCCTTCTACAAGGTAAATACAAAGAGACCTCATTACAATTCTAAAAGGCATTACGGGGAAAGCACAGGATTAGGGCCAGTGTTTTCCGACAATGAAAACAGAATAAGTTTGGATTTTCAAAGCTGTATATTTTCAGAAATTTTGGAAATGCAGGATATTAATACAAAAATACATGTATAGACAAACATGAGCAATATATAATCCTTTACAGCACAAAAATGTGGGGCACTGAGGGCTAGAGCCAGCTATGCAGGGGAGGTGAGCAGGGTAGAAGCAAGGTGGATGCTTTCGAGAGCAGATACGAGTGCCATCCACTCTGCAGCATGGCAAGGGAGCCCGGCACGCCCCACCAAGTCCTCTGCCCGCCCAGGGGAAACTCCACCACAGTTTGGCTGAGCCCAGGCCTCTGTGAGACGAGGAGAAGATATCAGCGAGTCTCAATAGCCAGCCTCTGCCCTGTGCCCTCAGGGTGAGTCTTGTGTCACCGGGCAGAAATCGGGGCGAGGGATGTGACCCTGTGTGCCCCGCCCACCCTCTGAACAGCGATTCTGGAAGTTCAGAGTAAGTCTGGAAATGAAGTGTCATTTCAGAAGAAAACATGGTAATAGCAGCAATTTCACGGAAAACACTGGCCTTACCCAGGATGATACTATTTCTAGAATTTCCTTCATTTATGTAACATAAATCAAGCAACTTGATTCTAAAGTTCCTAAGAAAAGTTTGGAAATATTAATGCATGGTTTTTTTTTTCTTGTAACATAATTTTAAAACGTGCTGTCTTCGAGACCTAGCACCACTCCTGTCTTCTCACTATGACAGGGAGAGAATTGAAATCCACAAGGCCTGCTGTGTCTGTATCAGTTTTAAGTGGAACGTACCATTGAAATGAATGGGGAGTTTGACTTTAAAAAATTAGCATAATATGGCCTCATGTTTCTACAGATAATCTAAAAAGTGCTCATGCTGAATGGGTACAATTTCTTATTAGTAAATAATTATTGGTAGGTTAGTAACTGGTTAAAAAGTGCTTTTGTTTCAGCATTCCATCACAGCACATAAGTATGTCTTAGTAAGTTGCATAATTATACTTTATAAATGGTATGATGTGATGTATAATTATCCTGTCAGGAACCATCTTATACTGTTAAGAATGATGGAGTAAATGACCTAGTAGGTCTTTTCCCGCTCTGATTTTTCTGGGCTTCATGGAGCACTGAATGCTCTTCACTCCCGCTGAAGTCAATAGGAGTTGCGGATGATCAGTAACTTGAATGACTAGGCCATCTGTACTGCATGATGGAACTTCATGTAACATAACCAAATGTGTCAGACTCTCATTTTTGTCCAGCATCTCCTGCCATTGAATGCAGCATTTTTCTAAGCATTGTGCACCCATTTGTCTATCTACATGCCACAGCCAGGTTGAGCATCTACTGCTCTACAATACAAAAACCCTAGGATTTTAACTTCCCCAAAAGTCACGCAGCTCAGTCTCCTATGAGGTGAATGGTGCTGCTACTACAGAACGGGATGCACAAAGCACGTAATTCTCAGACAGTTGCTAGCCACACAAATGAACTTGACCACCTGTAGGATAACTTTGAAACCATAGCAACCTTACAAGCGCTAAGGACTTAAACTGATTTGTGCTTTTAATAAGTATTAAAAGTACCTGTAGCCTAGGACAAGTGCTTTTTAATTCATTTATCAGTGAAAATTTTTAAAAATTCATGATCTTAAGCGTGCCTTTATATTATGGGGATGGGCACATTATAAATATGTGTATAGTAATTTGCCTAAACTCCCACAAAATTTAGAATTCTAACGGATCAAAATCACCCCTTATTTTTTTATTTTACAGGAATCACAAACCCAACCACCAATGGTTTGCAAAATGTCCCCCCTTTCGCTCATTTTGACCAGTTTATAATCTCCAGTTTCTTATCTTCAGTTCTTTAGAAATAATCTACTCTGAGTATCGTAAAGCGAGGTGGATATTGGGAACATCAGATGTTCTACGCACTGAGTCCCAGGGCACCCGTGAATGTAACAGGGCATTTCCCAGCTCTGATATTTAGCTTGTTGGTGCTTCTGATGTACTGCATTGCTGCCAATGGTATTGCAAAATCTGTTGGTGTTTTTTAAAGTCCTTCTTCTTCCAATACATTAATCTACCATGTCTAGACTGCTTGATTTTCTCCTGGTTGCTCGTATGCAATAGGATTGACAGAGCTTGTTTATGGAGCCTACTTTTCATAGGAGATTTTTGCTCCTTAATCACTTCTGCCACAGTAACAAAATATGATACGCTGTCTAGTTGCATGGATTCCTTTCTGCTAATACTCACAACCCAATCCAGTGCCATATATGACATAGTCTTCTTCCCTGCAGCTTTTTTGCTTTCCCTCTGGTTTCTCTTCTTACTCAGTACTGTGCTACAGGGCAAGTTTCTGCTCTCAGGAGTTGAAAGATCCCTCTCAAAGTTAATGAAGATGGATGTTTACTTATACCACTTTTGCTTATTTGTAAAGTCCGTATATTTTGTTTTGAAAACAAAATCTGATTCTTTACGAAGCATACAAAATAATAGTACTATTTGCTAAATAATCATGAACAACTCTGCAATAACAAGTAGGTCTGTTAGAACAAGAGAGAGGAAAATATTTAGGTGAGGAAACAGATCTGGGCGTTGTATTTCTAGCACAGCATTTCAGCCCATGCTGAACTTTAAGCATGTAAGTAATCTCATCGTGTTCAGCAAAACACTTCATGTTTTTGACTTCAGCGGGATTTAGGCACATGCTTAAGTGGTGTGTTGAATGTGGAATAGGATTGCAGGCATGCTTAAAGGTGAGTAACTGTGTAAAGGTATTGCTAAGCTGGAGCTCTGGTGAATTATTGGAAACAAGTGAAGGGAAGCATTATTTAAATGATAACGAGAAATACTTTACTCAGCATCTTTACTAACACTCTCAGATATGCTGTATGCACTCATGATAGAGAAGGAAAGTCTTTGTTCCATTCTCATATCTGGCGTGTACGGAAGCATTGGCAATCACCTTCGGCACCCCCTTGTGGCAAAACTGGATGACAGAGCAAGCCTGCCTCAGTTTCCCTCCTCTGCTGGACCCCTTGCTATCTCGCCCGCTTATTGGTCCTTCATCATGACCTCAGCCCTTTGGCTGAGTCATTGGTAGTCCTTTCTCCTTTCAGGGTGCTGAAGAGTCCAGTATCTCAGGAGGCCAGTTGCCTTAGATGAGGGAGTATAGTCCCTAGCCTCTTTGAATGTGACCTGTTGGCTCAAGGCCTTAATGAACTCTCCTGTTGGGTTAGTAGGGGAACCCAGACTTACACCCTCTGGGTTCCAAGCCAGGAACTCTGTATAAGGTGGTTGGTGCCAATTTCTCCCAACCCTTTACAGTTTCCCTGTCCTGCTTCCTATCATGCTCCTCCTACTGACCATTCCTCTGGTTCACAACCTACAGTCCTCTTCTCCAGAGGATTTCCTGTATGGCTTCTCCCTGGTCTGTTACTGAGAGCCCCTGCTCTCAGCGATTCCACTGGGCGAAACTCCAGATCATCCTTATGGTTTCCCTCCTGAAAGCAGGAGTCCCCAACCCCCATTCTCTTTCTGGAGCTGGGGTTGTGGTTTAGGTGGATAATAACTCCCTCTTTTGGACAGGAGTTCCCTCAGCCCACTTTCTAGAGCTGTGTTTGTGATTTAAGCCAGCTCCACCGCTTTAGCTTGGAGGTCTCAACAAACCTTGGGGGCAGTGAGTTCTTGAGAGTGTGTTTGTTTGTTTGCTGGCTTGTTTTCCATTTGTTTTTCAGTTTGCAAAGTCTGGTAGGGGGCAGTGTGTTGTGAAAGAAGCTGAATCTTTCATTACAGCTGAACCTGGATTAAGGGGCGGGGCTTCCTGGCATCAGGCCTATAAAGGCAGCTAACTGACCAGCCAGCATCACAGGAGCCAGCAAACTGAGCTGAAAACAGGGAAGTTTGGGGGAACATAGGTGTGGCTTTTTTCCTTTTTGACAGGAGTTAAGGAGGGAAGGTTATGAGAGTTACAAAGACCCAATGAATGGAAGAGGCAGTGAAGATGACCAGATGTGGAAGCTGCGGGATGAATATTCTGGAGAGGATACCTGAAAGGTGTTTCATTTCTATGAAGTGCTGCCTGATAGATCTGATGAAAGAGAAGACCCAAGGTTTGGAGATGCAGCTAGAAATTCTGATTGAATTTAGAAGGGGATTTGAGTGAATGATGGAAGAAGGAGAAAGGAAGCTGAGGAGAAAACTCAAGACTTGCAGATGCAAACTGGACAAGAGTACTGTGAGGGTAGACTTCTGTCAGCAACTGAGTCATGGGCTGTTTTGCCCAGTGGTTGGAGCAAGACCCTACCAGTTGGAGCTGAATCCAGATGGGGAGGATGCAGTCAGGTATCATAGCTGGGAGTCAGAGACAAAAGCCTAATCTGAAGGGTTAACTAGAATCAGAGTTGGAAGGTGTAGCAGAAGTTTTAGCTGGGGGTCAGAAACCAAATCCGAAACCAAAGGGTTAACTGGAGTTGCAGTAAGAAGGTGGCATTGAGTGTCTGAGCTGGGAGTTAGAGGTCAGGAAGGAGCTGAGGATTGGAGCAGGAGCAGGGACAGGCTGGATCAGGAGTGGAAGCAAGACTAGAGATAGTGGAGGCAGGTACAGGACCAAGCACAGTTGCAGGCCAGGAATGCATTGAGCAGCCACTGGACTGCTGCTGTTATTGAGCTTAAATACCAGCCTGCTGACTCCTTCAACCAGTCAGGTGGGACAGTCAATGAGACAGCTTCTATCAGGGCCAGCTCTGCTCATTGGATTGCTAGGAGACTGGCCCTACTGCACATTAAGACCCTGACAACTTCTGGATGAAGAAAGTGAGGAATAGAAGGACCTGAGGAACAGGTTTGCTGAGTTGGAAAATGAAGGGGTGCAGCAGGCAGTAAAGGAAGGTGGGAGGGCAAGAAAGAAGAGAAGAGC